CAGCTCAAACAAAGCACCGAGCTCACTTGGCTGCATTTCTGCACTGGCTCTGCTCCAGAGTCAGCCTGCTGAGCATTAGCAGAGGAGCTTGTGTTCTTCAACTTTGCTCAGAAGCACGTACAAAGGCAGCAAGCTTTTGCATAGGCAAACCAGCCAAAGGACTGTACTCTAGGTCTGGAAAGGCACCTAACCTGTTACAGCCTCCATAGCGTGCTGTGCACTTTATCTTCCCTAGGACAACACTCCAGCTACTGAAGCAGATGATACTATAAGCTATTAATACACTGGCCTAAATACAAACCACTGGAGCTAGGAATTCCCTAGCTCTCACCTCTGCTCAGCTGAAAACCCTTCTGTGGAATTAAGAATAAGTCAAGGTTCTTCTTCTCATCCCTCAGCTATCCATCTGTGAAATTCAGCATGACATCCCTAATGCAATACGTTAGTAAGACACTTAAGTATTTTAATAACATGCATGGAAATGCTTTGAAAATGACAAGTATTATGTGCAACAAGCTATGTAATTAATACTGATGACATTAAAAACTACTACCCTTTTCCCACTGCACAGCAGACATGATGAAGAGTATGAAGCAGGGATGAGTAAGATGAGTGGAATTGTCTCCTTGATATAAATGTTTCATCTCTGTAATATGCAATGTTTCCAACGCAATCATGCACTCTCCTGAAATAAACCTCCAGTGCCACTCACCAGCTGTCAAAGAAAATAAGTCTCCAAAGCCCCTAAACCTGATGTTAATCATGATTCATATTGCATCATATTTTTTTTTCTGGCAAGTCAGTATAAACAAGTATCAGGAGAAATTTTACTTAAAACTTTTATGTTTTTATACCTTGAATCAGTAGTCATACAAGTGGTATTCAACTCTGAAATGCATTTGGGAATAACAGCGAGAAAAAGAAATCAATAAAGTACGATGAAAAATAAGAAGAAAATTTATTTTGAATAGCTATAACGAAATGGAGAAATTCTATGGAACGCATACAAAAGATTGGTTCCAGATGGGTGAAAGTCCAGCGAAGGAGGTTCTCACATTTCTAAAAGCAAAATAACATCGAAGGGCAGCGAGCAACTGAGAAAGCAAGATTTCACAGCGCAACTTCGAGCCAGCTCCCCCCAGAGAGGAATTTTAGCAGCAGATTAGAACTGAAAATGAAAGATAGCAACACAGCGACAGAGCTCAAGCACAGGCAGTGTGAACTAGGGCTGCCTTGAACACTCAGCCTCAGCGTGCCAAGTCACCCGAGGCTGCACCCGTGCCCGAGTCCCTGCAGCCCGAGTTATGCCCAGCGCCGGCCGCTCCGCCACGGCCCCAGCAGCTGCCCAGAGGGCCCCGCAGCGGGCACACGGCCCCGGGAAGGGCGGCAGGGATGGGAAGGGGGCAGGAACGGGAAGGGCGGCAGGAACGGGAAGGACGGGCACGGGCCCCGGTGCCGCCTCGCCCGGCCCCGCACGCGGGCACGGCCGGCGCCGCATGATGCAACACGGGCGGGAGGGATGGAGGGAGGGAGGCAGGGAGGGCACAGAGCCCCGCCGGCAGAGAGGGAGCGGGGCGGCGCGGGGCGAGGCCCGGCCCGCACTTACCGAGCGGAGGACTGCCCGCGTCCACGGTGAGGCTCAGCGCCGCCATTCCCGCCGCCAGCGCCGGAACCGAGGGAGGCAGCGGGGCGGGGCGCGCGGCGCTGCCAGCTCGGCAGGGGCCGGCGCGGCCCGGGCGGCCCGGCAGGACCCGCCCCGGGGCGGGGGAAGCGCCCGTCACTTCCGCGGGAGAAGCCGGAGAGGCAGCGGAGCGGGAGATGAGGGTGTCCGGTGGGTCTCTTCGCCGCCGTTCAGTGCCGCTGCCGCCGCCCGGAGCTGCCCGGAGGAGGCGGCGGGGCCCTCCCGGCCGCGCCGGTGGAGCCCTGGGGAGCCGGCCGGGATGAGGGGCGGGTGCTGGCTGAGAGCTGCCCTGCCCGTCAGCAAGCCGGGCACCGGTGCTTCCCTTCTCACGGCTCCTCCGGCTGAGCCTGGCCCAGGGCTTTGCGGGCGCTGCCTGCCAAAGGCCTCAGCTGGATGTGTAGCAGCAGCCGTGGAGATGCCTCCAGCCCCTTTTCTGAGGGTGATGATCCAGACAAATCCGGCAGCGCAACATGCACCGACACGTTTGAGTACGGTGGTTTCACTCCTGGTTTTGTAGGATGTCGCTTGTTAAACTCCTGACAGACGTGTGGGTCAGCGTGCAGAGGGTCAAATGAATCCTAGAATATCCCAAGTGGGAAGGGACCCGCAAGGATCATTGAGTCCAGCTCCTGGCCCTGCACAAAGTGGTCCAAATGCTTTTGAACTCTGGCAGGCTTGGCACTGTGACCACTTCACTGGAGATCCTGTCCCAGTGCCCAGCCACCTTCTGGAGCCTTGGTATGAATTACAAAATGCTGCATCACCGAGTTTTTCACAGGAGACCGGCTCAAATTCACTTTGTTGCAAGGACAATGCAGTGTCACTGTGATTTTTATTTTTTTTCCCCCATCTATTTTATGGCTGTTACTGTAGCACCTAATGTGCTAACAGAGACATTAGCAAATGCTTGATTGGTGAACCAGTGTTTTTTATGCAGTGGAGGTAGTGGTATAGCCAGAGCATGACTGCACATTACATGCTGGTTTTTATGCTTGATTCTTGCTGCTGGATTTAATCTCAGCTTTCCTTACTCTTGTCCTGTGTTAGCAGTTCTACAGTTTCTGTAAGAATGGAAAGTATTTTCACATGTTTCCATACATGAGTATCTTTACACATCATGCAGAAGCTGATACATGCTGTGTGTTCTACTCCCATTCAAGTAACTAAATGAGCAGACAGAAATTACAGTAGAATTAGAGGCTTATGCTGAAGAGACTTTCAAACCTATTTCAAGTTTCAGATGAAAGTAAGGTTATAGAGTATAGCATAATATTACTAACAGTGATTTCTGTCCTTTGTTTTTTAATGATTGCATGGAAAGAATGATTAAAGCAGGCCTTTGTGTTGCCTGAGTTGTTTTACATTTTATCTTAGCATGTTTTGCAAATTCACATGCAGATTTTGATGGGAATGTTACAGCATGTATATCAAAGAATTCTGCATAAGATAAAAGTGAAAATTATGTCTAGCAAGCAGTGAAATCACTGTACTTCATATGTGGTTCAAAGTTCAGTCACAATCAGTATGTGGAGTGACTAAACTTATAATGGGCCAAAATATGAAGAAGGTTCTAATTAAAGCAGGCTGAATCTGCCTTGCATGCTCTTACCAGTTATGCAATTGAGGAAAGAGAAGAAAGGTAGGCTTTAGATCAAAGGATTAGAAGTACACATTGTTCCTATATATGCAGCTCTAATCCAGTGTCATGATAGAATGAGGTAAATGCTAATCTTGCTAATTTATCTGTAAATGTTAGGCGATGACCTCACTAAGGAAGAGATTCCTTAGATTCTGTTCCACGTGTGCACGTGGAGAGACAGGAACACTTTTGCAAGAGTTGCCTTGTTCATATCTTTTGGTAGCAAGATGTTCCTGCTTGTGGGAAATAGTCAGCTTTAAGCCAGTGAAGTCATATTGGTGCTACTCTACTGTGAGGAAAGGATCTATTCTAAGGACTCTAAATGAAGTAGAGTTGTTGAATATCTTGTGTGATGATAGGAGAAAGAAGTTACTTGAACACACTTTGCAAAACTGAATTTCAAAACTTTCTTCTGTATGGAAAACAATTTTTTGTACTTCAAGGCACTCATTTAAAGATAATTTGTGTGGATGAAGAATGTAGTTATTTAGAAGACCTAATCTTGTGGGCAGAGAGGAGATGAGAAAGGGTGCAGTTCATCCTCTTGCAGGCTACTTTGGCATTCTTGGTGCCAGCAGAGGGTAAGGAAAAAAAAATCATGTGGGAGAGCTTAGGGATTCAGTCTTTATGTAAGCAAGCAGCTATGTTCAGACACCCTCCCTGCCACCACCTGAGAACCTGACATATGCCACTCTTCTGTCCACATGAAGAACAGAAAGAAAAGCAAATCTGTGTTGTCTGTTGAAACTGGCATCTCTCCATGGCATGCCTCAGTAGTGTCACATTGTTAGGGAAAAGGAGGCCCTAGGACTCCTTCATTTGAGAGTAAGGGGCTTGAGTCACAACATCTGGAGAAAAGAAGGGGTACAGATGCCTCACTGGTTCAAGAGTGTAATTCCAAAATCCTAAATTCAGCTTGAAGTGACTTCAAAAGAGTGTGGCTAAGTTTCCAATTTTATCTAGGCATATGTAATTTACTGCTGGTTCTCTTCTGTGTTCAAGTGGACTGGGAAGTTGAATCCTGCTTTCCTAACAACCACACCTATGGGAAAGCTGACTGAAACTGGATTTCCAATTTCAAAGTCAATTTTAGGTGACCTTGGCCCCTAATTTTAGGTTAATTTTAATAATTTTAGGTGATCTGTTCTCTCCCCTCCTCTAACATGCCTGTGTTCCACAGGAGGGGGAAGTGGTACTGTCAACATCCTAAGCTCTGGGGCTGTTGGAAAGGTACCTGGTTTATCTCAGAATTTGGACATGGAAAATTTCAAGGTCTGGCATTTCTGTTATTCCCAAGTATGCCAAAGTGACCTTGACTTTGGATGCCCAAAGTGCTCCAAGACTGCAGTGGCATAAACCCTGACAAAGGCATTTCAAATCATCACAGAGGTGCTAGGAATTCCTGCCCTTGTCATGCTTCCTTGGGTTCCCAACTGAGCTGTCCTGAACCCTGCTGTATGTACACTTTGCTGATTCTCAATGAATCCAGTGATCCATGAACCCTTATTTGAGATTTCCAGGCCCAGCTGCATTGTGTCCTGCCTCTTGCAAAACTCAGACAATCCAACAAATAGCAGTCTTGGCCATCCCAAAACTCAGTGCAGACCCAAAAAAATTCAGATGCCCTTCTAAGAATCAAAACTGGCAACTTTATAACAAAAAGGCTCATCCACCCAGGCAAATCCTTAGTCCATTTGTATTTAACACAATAACCCTTATTGAAAATAAAAACCATTGAGCAAGATCAGGTACATGACTAAACATGATTTTGTGCCCAGAATATGAAGATGATTTTTGGTCTGTACTGTTATGATTAGTAATATATGACACACAGTCATGAGGAAAGAAAACTCCCAAAGAATATAGAAAACAACCACTGAAGAAACGTGACTGCTTTGATGTCAAACACTCAACTGCTCAATACAGCCAAATAATCTGATCCAACAGATACTTGGAGATTCCGTATAATTTTGAAATTATTGAACACCTTACTGAAAGAATTCAGTTCAGATTCTATGAAACAGAATTTCAATCTCAGTCATCTTCTTCCATTTTTTTTTTTTTCCAAGCTCATTTTCTCAGCCTTCCAGGCCAAGTGAAGATTCTTCCCTGCTTTAAGGCACAAGAGATTCTTTCACAGTGTTTGGAATACGACTGGCATAGTAGTCATAATTTCTCAAAGTTGCAAGGACTCCAGCTGAATTCATGTGTTTCACCTCCTTGTTATACTGAAATGAATTTCCACGAATATCAGTTATCTTGCCTGCAAAACAAAGAAGAAAAGAAAAAATATTGCAGCAAAAAGGAGTTGGAATGTATTAGTTCAAGTGAAATAACTAAAAGCAGTCTTCACATGCCTGTCTTCAGATGTGAAGTATCTTTGCTTCCAGTTTAAGTACAACAGGTTTTATATTGACTGAAATCAAAAAGCTAGTGAGTTTATTTCTTTGTTTTCAACAATACTTAGATTCTTTGTGTCTCAGAAAAAGGAAAACATCTCCCTCATGGATTATGTAAAATACTTCCTGAGTAGCTTTTACATTGGCCATTGACAAGCAGCAAAGAAAAATCCTCAGTTCAAGTAGAAACCAGGGTATGTCTATACCACAAGCTCTAACATAATGTAGAAACACCCCAGCTGGTTTTAAATGAGATTTGAGAAATCACTTAGCAAGAGCAACACAGATCTTTACTCATGCTAATTTAACTAGGAGATTCCTACCTACCAAAGAGGCTAAATACAGCACTGTGCTGCCCCAGATTGGTTGGGCTGCTTTGTGCTTGAGCTAACCCTGTTCAAAATTATCCCAGTTATGAACACTACAGGCTGCAAAGGAATTCAATATTGTCATTATGAAGCCTGTTATCCTTGCTTGACAAAATTTAGGAATCAAATCCCATAATTCTAGCGTATGGTGGTAAAAGGCCAATTAATGTGAAAAGAAGAATTTAAAAAAATTAGTACTACTTCAAATCCGTGGTAGTGAGTCTTTTAATAACTTTTCAACCCCTTAGCCCCTACATAAGTGAAATGTCTCGTGTTGGCTGGAGACCACTAATTCTATTGAATTACATGAATTACTCAATTTTGGAGTTTGTACACCCAGAGAACAAGCGCATGATTTGACCTATTTTTGTTTGTTTAAAGAATTCAATGTCCACATATTACATAACATGTTACTAATAATAAACTACTATACTCAGTTAGTAGGACAGCAGATTTTACTGTGAGATAGTAGGCACCAGAAAAAAAGAAGAGCATTGTTTTGAAAATATTAAAATGAATACACCCCAAATTTGGGGATTTGGCTTTTTTAATTATGTGACAATTATTGACACATGTATTGTCATTTTTCTTTCAATGGAAAGCATAACTAACTTCAAATTAATGCAGTTTGACTTATCCTGGAACTTTGAATGCTATGAACTTACCTCCCACAGCATGTAGGATAGCTTCAGGTGCACATGTATCCCACTTCTTGCACCCAGGACTGGCAAATACGTAAGCAGATGCTTTGCCTTCTATGAGTTGAATGATCTGTTAAGAATAGAGTTGCAATCATTGTAAAGGATCTAGACATTTAGAAATGGGTAGAAATAACACCAGGAAGTGGGGATTAAATCTGTTTATTTAAGTACTGATAGTCAGGAAAGGAACGCCAGCCATTTCCTAATTGATATTACAAGTAATGTTATTAAGATTTAGAAGCTATAGTGTATCACCATTCCCAATTCACTATTTTTGATTGTTATAAATACAGTCTATAAGATGAAAATCTGCTCACAGTTTCAGAAACAAGAATCCTTGTGCAAGAATTTCTTGTGCAAGTACTAAAAGAATAAAGTGGAAATGATATACATAGTGTTAGTGCCATTTTGCGCCTTGCCCATGTTGGAGAAAAGAGATGAGAGGGTGTGGTTTTGACAGCTATGACAAAACTAAGATTTAAAACCTATGTCAAATGAGTGTTCCCTGTACACAGAGAAATTTCACAAAGGAAATATCACTGCGTGCTTATATTTTTACCCTTTCAAATGTTCTGCTAGATAATTGGAACAAAAGCTGTATTACAAACAGGAGGACATGTCTAATAATTGAGATTAAACTGAATTTCCATTTAGTCTTTCTGGTCTTACAACTTTTTATTTTCACCCCTAAAAACAGAATACTGGGCAAGACAGACCTCAGCCATGATCAGCATGGCCACTGGTACAAATACACCTGTGCCAAATTCTCTCAGCCTCACAGTAGGCTGAATGCTAGGAAGAGAAGTTCTGCTGGAGAAGGTGGAGGAAGTCACTCCTGTATATTCATGCGAGTAAGCAAATGATTTCTTTAAAAAGACTTTTTGGGTTTTTTTCCAAAGGTGCCACCTCCCAGTAAAAACAGAAGATTTGGGGTTTTCATACCTTGTTTCCTGCTCCTCCAACTCTGATGACATGGTCTGGGTTCAAGGCAGTGATGCACTCATTCACTAGGGCACTGCTGTGGGAGCGGGTGGTAATGACGATGTGTTTGCCAGCAGGTGCTTCTGTCAGCTGAAAGCCAAAGGCACCCATGCCCAGCACTCCCCAGATTGTCCTGCCCAGCACAGCATTAGCTCCTGCCTACAAAAAAGGCACAGAGTGATGGTTAATCACACTGATCAGCAGTTAAAGCATAAGGGGATAAGGGTACCTAGAAGCATATTGGCATATCAGGGAGTATACTATTAATATTGGGCTGTGCATTTAAACAGTGGCACTTAAAAAGAACTACTTGAGAGCCCAGAGTGAGAAATTTGCTCTCTTTCCCTCTAAGGCAATGACATCATTGACCCTCTTCTTATCTGTGACATTGTGGCGGTGCATTACATCCTGCTTCCAGTGACTGGCAGATTAATATTTGTATATTTCTGTACTTGGGGCACAATCTGTAATTGAATGTATCTTGTAATTTGAAATACTTTGTGATGCATGTCACACAGAACATGATAGCATTACACCAGCTCAAGGGCTTTTTCTTTAAACTCCAATAAGTTTAATTAATCAGGCTGTATCATGAGTTCCCCCCAATAATACTGAGATAATCTCCAAATGTGTAAATGCTTGTAGGTTTGCCATCCTGACTTTTACCTGCAGCCTGGCATGATACACTCTAACCCAGCTGTCAGTGACAATTTATGCTTGGTTTATTTAGGGCTGCAGATTTATGGCAGTTACCATGCATTGCAAATGCACCCACTGCATAGATTTACTAAAGAATTTCTAGCAAAGACTGCAGCACCACTGATCTGTACTTGTTTTGAAGTAGGCACTCTATAAGGACTGTAGTAATTTGCACAGTATATATGTAATATATCCTGTATTAGTGAAGTACACAAGCCTCAGGATTCAGTATGGTTGTTAGTATGTTCCTGATATCCAGTCCCTGGAATCCACTGTTTAAAATTATATATATTTAATTTAAAAAGCCCAATACCTTACATTACAACATTAACTCCACTACACGTCACTTTTCAGTTGAAAGTGTGCCAACTGAAATGGCTTAGGAGTCTTAGGATTTAGAAATCACACAATGCTTCTAAATAAATGAATGATTTAATACCTCGTAGTTGTAATATGGCTGGTTAATAACTCCTGCTATTGCTTTGCCTCCATAGGCAATTCCAATAAGAACCGTTACGTGGTCAAGGAGACCTGGACAGAAAAATCAGGAATGCAGTTATGCTTGAAAAAGAGAAAGATCTTAATAAAAACATAAATCCTTAGTAAAAGTCCACAAATCAATATGCAGGGTGCTATCTTAAAAATGCAAATACTAATCAGGATTTTCAGATGTTGATACAATCTTTTAGTCATTTAGCCTTGAGGTCTGCTAAAAAATGCCCCAGATAGAGTTCTTTTTATAGAGCTATGTTATAATTAACACATTATAAGGAAGTTTAAAGATACAACCACACAGCAATATATAGTGACATTCTTCTGTAATTGTGGTGGGAGTTCTTTAACACCACACAAAACTAGCGGTTTGTTGACAGTTGTACATCTCTTTCCCCAAAAAGGGGGAAAAATCTGTCTAAAAGATTTTACATTGATCAACTAAAAGATGCATTAGGAGGCAAAAGTGAGGTTTCACCATATTGTTTCTTGGAGGCTTATCTATTTCTTTTTTTCTTTTCTTTCATTTTAGGATCTATTTCTATGGATAGAAATTAGGCTTTACTGAAAACAGTTTCTTCCCATAACTGAGGAATTGTGGTTTGTGGGAGGATGTTTGTTTTATTTTGAAAGGGCTACAAGTACAGCTGTGGTATTTGAGAGTATGTAAACATAATCAAGCATATTCCTGTGTGAAGGGCAGATTTAGTTAATTCAAAGACATGCAAAATTGTAAATTTTACTAAAAACTTAAGACAACCTGCCAGCAGTCAAAGGCAGCTTTTTGCACTCTGAAATGATAAAAACTGGTCAACACTCAGTAACCCATCAGGAATATTCAGTACTGGTAAGAACTGAATGGAATGAACAAATACATTCCAAGCACTCAAAAAGTACAGAAATATCAGCCTTATGAAACCTTATTGTAAGTAGCTTTTATGATAAAACTATCTATATGTATATGCTACTTTATTACATTGCTATATTTTTTTATCAACAGAATTAAAAGAAAATCCAACCTTCAGTGTATTCCTTGGTTCCATCCAAGGGATCAACCCATATTACAAGCTTTAAGAATAAAAAAAATAAGAAAAATTAACAAATACAAATCATGTAAATTACCACACAAAGTATATATTTTACTTTAGTGCTTTTATTTCATTGCGGCAGTAAGGAAACAAAGAGATCCAAAGTTTTAACATTATTATATGACTGAAGCCTATAGTAGTATTTTACACATACAGACACAAAAAAAAACCCAAAAAACTGACTGAAATGTCTCAGTAAATCTCTTAATAGAAGTACCAAGGATTAAACTCAACATGAAAATGAGATTACTTTCTTATGTCCAAACTAGATTCCTGCCAAAGTAATTTGAATCACGAATTGTAAGAAGCCAATTTCCATTTCCCGTTACTGGACACAGGAGCATGCAGTGTTTTCAGCTCTGGAGGTGTGATTCTCATGACTACACTTCAGTTTTCAAACAGAAAATAAAAGTTGGCAACATTGAGAAAACCTTTCTCCCTTATATACTCTTAACTGAAATCAGAAAGTAGTACAGATATTGTAAAATATGAAGACATAGGCCTAACGTTACCACATTACCTCTTCCTCTTTGATTCCTGTGTACTGAGCAGGACAAGGTTTCTTCAGTATTTCTTCACAGTGACCATCTTCAATTAAATCCTCAGTTACATCATTAGCGGGCAGTTCCTAACAAACAAAATCATAGAATTGTTAGAAAAATGTTTTGGGCTTACCTCAGTTTGCCTTAGAGCTGTGTAATTGACAGCAGCTTGATAAAGCTAATTAAATGAAAACGTGAAATGGGATGGAAATACCTTTGTTTGTTGCTTTTTGGGTTGTTTTTTTAATTAAAACCAGTGTTTTCTTAAACCCAGCCAAAGTAAATTCTAGCACAAGCTACAGCAAGATAATTTCATGTTAGGATGAAATTGAGCAGGTACTTACTTCTTCTCCTATGATTGTCACCTTGGGAAACTTCCGTGCCAGGGAAGCACAAATGCTCATTTGTACCAGTCGGTCAGCTTTGGTCTGCAAGTCATTGGGTCCAGCCTGTCCAGGAGTGGATAGGAATTTGTGTAATAAAAAAATACACCAGCACAGTGGCACATACAGCACTCTGAATATATCTACTTGTAATGAAAAGGAAGTCTAATTTGGTAAATCTTCAACCCAATAAGTGACCTTGCGAGAGGCAAGCTAAAACCTGCAAGAAGCAGAGTTTTCCTCTGTACCCCAGAGCTAAGACAGACTGGTCTGACAATAGAACAGTGCATTTGGTGCCCCAAGATGATATCAAAAAATGACTGCAAGCCTTCCCAATGTTGTGTAGCCAAACATACATTGCTACATGTGTTACAGTAATGTCTTAAATGTTAATAACCTGCTACATGTGAAAGTAGGTAGCTTAGCAACACTTTTTTAACCCTTTAGTACGGAGACAGAATCCCAGTAAGAAATAATTCTGTTAGTGTTGGAATTTAGAAAGACAGTTCATCTAAGATTTGCATCTTAGTTGAATCAAACAAAAATTTTATCTGCTTGTGTCTTATTTGCTGACAACGTGAAAAGTGTTTTATTCAGCTACAGAAATTAGCCATAGGAATGGGATATTCCATTTAGAACCATGTAATGGGTTAATTTTTGCATACTCAAAACTAGTCTGTCCCTTAGCCAAGTGCTAATTTTATGAAACTTGATATTTTTCTTTGAAATTTCCCTCTCATCCCCTAATTAATTTGATTGAAATTGGTCCTGAGTTTAGACTCAGTAAGTATATTGCAAAGAATGTCCTTTGTTCCAGGACATGAACCCAATAAAACAGTATAAATAGTACTTCAGTGTAAGAATGGGTGGACAAGTGTCTACTTACCAAGTAGGAGGAAAAAAAGTACAAGCACAAAGAGAAGCAATATAAATGGAGAGCTTAGAGCTGACTCAGGTGAAGAAAACTGGATATCAGGAGAGGAGATGGCTAAAAACTCAGCTGTCCTTGAACTAGATAAATGGATGGAAGGTCACTATGTTGAGGGAAAAGGTGTAACACTGCCTTTCCAGATGTTCTAAAGCTTTCAGTAAGGCCAGTTGCAATTGGTCTTGGTTTTTGCTGGCTGCAGAAAGTGGATGAATGAAGAGTAGCAGCACTTCTGTTCTTTTCTGTTCTACATCTCTTCAGACTGCAAAACAGAGGGACAGGCAGAGGTTCTCTTGCATTCTTCCTCTTTCTTCAGCAACCACCTTTGGCAAGAAGCTTGTAAGAATTTCAAGATCTCTAGTCCCTCAAACAGGAACCTCTTCTGTTTGTCCTTGCTTTTGACCTAATGTGTGTTTGTAGTATTCATTCCTCAAAAAATTTTGATGTATAACTAGTCTTATTTAGAACCAATATCACCCATTACTTTTGATCATTTTTAAATAATTTAAAACACTTCCAGTACCGTCAACATAAAGACCAAAAATAATATATATATTTAACAAAGCCCATAATATTTTTATGTATCTGTAAAGCTAGAATTAACTTCAAAATTTAATTTCACCTATTCCAGTACTGTAGTCAAAACAAAGATCCTGGCTCATCAGTGCAACTTAATAAATTACAGCAAATTAAGAATTTTAATACCTGTTTTCCTTTTAGAATTAAATATGAAACTCTGAATTTCTTTTGAAAGCTGTGATTTACAATAAAATCTGAAGTTCTTTTTTGTTTTAGGAAATCAAACACTGATTTATTGTAATCCAAAATTCATCAAGAGCACAGTATTTTAAGCTGTACTAAGGAAGTTAGAACATAGGTATAGAAATTAACAGGAAATATACCTTATTATGAATTCTGAGGTGCTATGCAAACCTTGTGTTTTGTGAGGGAAATCAGGACAAAATGATGGTGTTTCTTTTCAATGTACAAATATTGTTTAGAAGTACTGGTCAAAAGACACTTCCCTAGGGCTATTTTAATCCTTTAAAAAGGAATATTTTAGGTAGGTGGTGGTGAGGGAGGTGAGGGCTGGATTTCATCCCACAGTGGCTGATTTTTAAGAATATCACTTTGACTTGTATCTAACTCAAGATTAACAAGTGAAATTTAACTGGAACAAAGTAAAAGGTAATACCTTCTCCACTATGCCCAGATCTCCTGCAGACATCACATTTCTAACAATTGTGGCAGCTTTTTCTGCAACAGAGTATGCCGAGGCCACCACACGCATGAGAAGAGCTGGAGAAGCCATGCTAAATGCTGAAAAGAAACAAAAAGCAAACTTGAACATTTCTTTCTTCAAGAGAAGAAAAAAGCCGAAGTATTTTAGCTAAGATTTCAAACAGATACAATTTAAACTGAGTAGAAAGGGGAAAGTGGGTTACTGTCAGTGAGTGATAATGAGGTGAGCTTTGGCTTTTTTTAAAAATACAATTAACAAACACAAAGATGTAAAGCAATTGTAGACAAGACCTTGCAAATATGCATATTCTGTCTTACAGTGAATCTGGTCCTCACTGAAATAGAATGACATTAAAAAAGAACAAAGGCAGCAGCAGAAACTCTTATCATAAGTATTAGGAAAAAGAAGAGTCTACACACAGTACTCATTTTTTGCACACTTTGAACATAAGTTCATTTTTTCAGAACTGAACCTGCAGTTGGTTTGTACCCAGAACTCAAGCACAAGCATAAGACTACCAGACAGGATGACATCAGCAACTTCACTTATTATTCCCCTTTGTTTAACTATAAAATGGGGGTTTGTAGCTGGCTAATTGTGTACACAAAGTAGGTTAATGATACACAGATACTGCAAACTTGTATGCAGAAGTTAAATTTAACCATCTGAATTTAGCCTTTCTGTATTTGTTTAATTTCTCCTTATTTCTTTAAGGAAATCAATTTACATCTTCCTGTCTCTCCTCACCACTCCATCTCCTGTCATTCTTCCTATTGCATTGTCTTTCTCATCTGTTCCCCAGCACAAACCAGTGCAATTCACTGGGTCTTCAGTTACCAAGTAGAATAACTATCACCCTTGGAAAGGCTGACACTCCTCCCAGCTTTTCTTTAACTCAGGAAAAAGAACTATTGATAACCACATTGCATTTTTTAAAATGCAAAGCTAATTGCTTTTTATGTTTTCCTATCAGTTGTTTCTGTCTGTGTAGATGACACACTTTTTGGCTTGGCCTCACATGTATGACACACTTCCAAGGAAACACTTGAGCACAGAGCCAGAACAAAACACAGAGGAACTAAACACAGAGGAACTCACTGATCACTACACAGAAGAAGATATATTGTGGGGGAAGTGTAATATGACAATCATATCATAAATATGGCAATTGCAGCAAGTACTGCTTAAGTAGCAATAGGTCATTATACAACACCTTTCATTTCTTCCTTGACAAATCAAGTTCATGGCTGTTCACAAAACAGCAATGTCAGAGGTATCAGAATCTCCAATTTATTGATTTCTTGATTTAAAAGCTTTTTCAGCATTTTACTGACACCATACCTGTACCAGTAAAGTCAGAAGCACTCTAAGGCTGAAAGAATAGAGTGACTGTGCAAGCATATTCAAAAAGCACTGTTGCTAAGGTTAATTAAGGTTAATTATTATTTCCAGCTGCTGGACGGGAACAAAGTGCTCTGGAGTTCTGTGGAACAGCCAAGGTCCATACCCAAAGTAACCCTGGACAGGTAGCAATGGCTACAGAGGAAATTTTGGAAATGCTACCTGTGACAAAAAGCAGCTCTCAAACAATTGAAAGTTGCAGAGCAAATATGTATAACACATGGAAAGCCACATACTATTTTAAGTCTATGCCATTGTGTGAAACAACAGGAAGGAATATAGTTAATTCCATAATAAAAATATCTGGAATATGAGAATTTCTGAGAAATGGTTAAAAAGTAGCATATTAGATGGGAAGCTTGGATTAAAGAATTGAATTGAATTATCAGATGAACATAATTAACATTTTTTGTTCAGCTTCTCAAAAAAAGGTCATTTGACCTTTTACTGTGCAGTTGATCCTGCTTCATAAAATGAGATGAAAACTTAATTGTTTTAAAGTCTTGACTTACTTTACATTTGCATAAAGTTTCAAAAGACTCAGAAAACAATACAGAAATACTATCTTGCATTCTTGAAGCCTGGCTCAAGGTGTTTCTTGGGTACATTTTTCTTGGCTATACTTAAGGCAAACAAATATACTTGCTGTGGGATACCCGGAGCCTACTGGCAAACCTTAAAATTAAAATATTTTTATGAAAAAATAAGGTTTATTAAAGGAAACTGAAATGAGAGGTTCAACACCCCCCCTCCTAATGACTGGAGTAATTACCTGATGAACTGCAAAGTATTTTATTAGAGCAAAGGTACCTTAAATTTTTACAGGGCTGGATTTCCTGTGTGGCACATCTTCTGGTGTATTGGACCTTTTTGATTCAATAAGTGAATGCAATAGTTGCCTCTGAGTTCTTCACCTCTGTAACCTTTCAGTCTCAAATTAACTTATTTATACATTTATGGCACATTCTTTCTGCTGAGGGCAATGTCTAATGTATACTTCCATAAGGCAGTTAAGAATATCTTGCTTGCTTTAGATAAAAATAGTTTGACTCCTAGAAAACTATGCAGTTTACAAATACTGCTCAGCAATTATCCCTCAAGTTAAATTGGTATAATTTTCAAAACACACTTTGTCCTCTAAAGACTTTCCCTCCTTTCTTTTAGCCTAGCAACCAACCTGTTGAATGGTCTTGACAAATCAGCCTATTTTGGGACCTACGAAAATTGATGAGTTCTCCAGTTCTTGTTCTACTTTTTAATTCTGATGTACATAAGTACTACAGGCTGACAATTAGTTTGTCAAAGCACACGTGACAGATTTGTTGACCGCTCCCATTCAGTCTTTTTTTACGCAAACTTCCATTTTCCAAATTTATGATTCTGCCTGGTGAAAGGAGAAAGCGGACATTACACAGAGCATGTCCTTAAAACCAAGTTCTAAGCCATGACTTCTTTCTTGGAACTCTTCTAAGACATCTTGGAATGTCTAAGCGACCAGAGCTCCTCATTTCTTTACAATAAACTTCGGCCCACAATTATTAAAAGATGAAGTTTCCATTATGTAAAGGAGCAATATTTACCCAGCAGAAAACAGGTTAGGGTTCGGGGTTGGGAATCCCACTGCTGTTCACCTACAGACTTCCAAGTGGGAAAGGGCTGCGCTACCTCATTTCACCAAAGAGAAAGAAAAGGGAAGCCTGGTCCCGATTCTCTTGCCATGAATATTCCGGGAGGCAAAGTGCCTGCAGGGCAGCGCAGGCGGATTTAGGAGCAGTGCCTGCCAATGCACCCAGCGGAGCGTGGCCAGGCACACCGCGGGCTATCGGCGATGGCAGGAGCAGCTCTGCCGGCCCGGCAGCCAACTCACCGTGTCCAGCCTCGCTTTTCCCCGGATCTCCGCCGGCCCCCGCGGCCCGGCACCGATGTCCGGCAGCGTGCGGTGTGCTCCGAGCCCTCCGCGCCCGTCCCCTTGCCAAGGAGGGACCCGCGCCCCAGCACCGCAGCTCACCGAGGCCTCCGCGCCGGCTCCTTTAGGGAGGATTCGCCACCCCTATAAAACCACCTCGGAACGCCCCGAATCCTTCCGGCTCCGGGCGGGGCCCAAGCTCTCGCCCGGCCCGCCGGGAGCGCCGAGCAGGCTCCGTGCCGCCGTCCTGCGCGGCGTGTCCCCTGCCGCGGCCCGTCGTGCCGGCGGAAGCGCTGCCGCAGCCCGCGAGGATGCTTCGGGCCTGGCGGGCGCCGCCGCTGGCGCGGGCCCGGGCCGGCGCCGCCCGGGGCTGGGCGCGGTCCGCCGCCTCGGAGGCCGCGGCCGAGAGCCGGGAGGATTCCCGGTACCGGCACACGGTGCTGCTGCCGCGCAGCCGCTTCCCCGCGCAGCTCCCGGGGCGGCTGCAGCCCGAGACAGAGCTGGAGACGCAGCAGGTGCGGCCGGGGCCGGGCCGGTTCCCCCGGGGCGCGAGTCCCGGGAGGGACGTGGGGCTGCCCCGGGCGCTGCGGGCCCTGGGCCGCGAGGAGGGCGGGGGTGGTGAGCGCCTGGGTTTGTGTTCGGTCCCGCCGCGCAGGGAGAACTTCTGGCGAGTCTGGGCTCTCTCCTGGCCCGGCCGTCTGGGGTCTTTTTTAGAAAAGCTCGGGCTCTTAAGGTATTTACAGTTTGGATAGTCATAACTTTGATAGAGTTGGTTTTGGAGGAGTGTAACGACCGTCGGGATAGCGTAGTGCTAGCGCTAATAATCTCAGGACTAATATTTCACCCTCTTCCGGCTTTTACGTACGTAAAACCCACTAAATGCCTTCTCTTGCAGAGTTAGAAAAGTGTATTTGTTTGTCTGTCTGCTTTATTTGTTAATTTTAAATCCAGACTTTTTGGAAGTGCAAAGACTTGTGATAGTTTTGGTATTTTTCTCGTCTCTTCTACAGAAATGTGGTTTTTCAGAACTGTACTCATGGCAAAGGCAAAGGAAGACAAAACAGGAATTTTGTCTGCATGACGGACCACCCTATGCCAACGGAGACCCTCATGTTGGCCATGCATTAAACAAAGTAAATATTTACTTATTCCTATTTCATTCTTGTGAAGTGGTAAAAACTTTACTGTCATGTGCTCTCCATTCCCATTTAAATCAATAACACTTTAAAGTGTTTGGGGTTTTGGTAGTTGGGGCTTTTAAAAACCAGTGTCAGGGTTATGTGGATGCCATATTTTGCCATGTTGATATAGATACCATACTCCAGTATAAATACTGTGTACTGAATGCTCAGTGTTCATTTTGATTCAGCCCTGAGATTTACAACATTACACTGGCCACAAAGTGAGAAAGACTCAAATTGTGAGCTGTCATCCACAGCTTCTCACAGTCCTAGTGCCAGAGCTTGGGCTGCAGCAATGTGCTCTAGGCCAGTGCTGTAGGTCTAGCTCAGTGTTTTAAAAGTGAGAGCAAGTCAAACTTGTTGACTTCAAGTCTTGTATCTCTCAGCTGCACTGGTTATGAACTCCTTGGATCAGAGGTCCTCTAATGTTCTGCCAATGTACAAAATTATAGGCAAAAAAAAAAAAAATGCAGGGTCTTTGGATCACAGAGTGGTTTGAGTTGGAAGGGACCCTGAAGATGATGTAGTTCCAAACCCTCTGCCATGTGC